ACAAATGAAAATGAACTCACAACAACCCAAAGTTGTGGGACACAGTTAAGGCAGTTCTGAGATGCCACTTCATAGCAATACAGGTCTACCTAAAAAAGATAGAAACATTTCAAACAGGCAACCTAACCCTAAGTCCAGAAGAACTCTAGGGACAACAATAAAGACAGTCCAGAGCAAGTAGAAAGAAGGAAATAACCATGATCAGAGCAGAATTAAATGACATAGAGACTAAAAGCACAATTCTAAGGATCAATACATCCAGGAGCTGGTTCTTTGAAAAGGTAAACACAATTGACAAGCCAGTAAGCAGGCTCATCAAGAAAAAAAGAGAGATGACCCAAATAAACACAATCAGAAATGAAAGAGGAGAGATTACAACTGACAACAAAGAAATGCAAAGGATTGTAAGAAATTACTATGAAAAACTGTATGGCAAGAAATTTGAAAATGTAGGTGAAATGGACAAATTTCTAGAGAAATATAATCTCCCAAAACTCAATGAAGAAGAAGCAGAAAGCCTGAACAAGCCAATAACAGCAAAAGAAATTGAAGCAGTAATCAAAAAAACTCCCAAAACACAAAAGCCCTGGACCAGATGGTTTCACAGGAGAATTCTACAAAGCATTTAAGGAAGAGCTAACCCCTATCCTGCACAGACTATTCCAAAAAATCCAGAATGATGGAAGACTACCAAACTCCTTTTATGAGGCCAGCATCATCCTGATCCCTAAACCAGATAAAGACACAACAAAGAAAGAAACTTCAGGCCAGTATAGCTGATGAACATACATGCTAAAATCCTCAACAAAATATTGGCAAACTGCATCCAACAATACATTAAAAAGATCATACACTATGACCAAGCGGGATTCATCCCAGGGATGCAAGGATGGTTAAATATTCACAAATCAGTAAATGTAATACATCACATAAACAAAAGCAAAGACAAAAACCACATGATCATATCAATAGATGCAGAAAAAGCATTTGTAAGGTACAGCACCCATTTATAATAAAAACACTCAGCAAAGCGGGAATAGAGGGAGCATTCCTCCACATAATAAAGGCCATATATGAGAGAACTCCAGCCAACATGATACTCAATGGGCAAAAATTAAAATCTTTTCCACTAAGTTCAGGAACAACACAAGGTTGTCCACTTTCACCACTTCTATTCAATGTAGTACTGGAAGTTCTAGCCACAGTGATCAGACAAAAAAAAAAAAAGAAATAAAAGGCATCCAAATCAGAAAGGAGGAAACAAAACTGTCACTGTTTGCAGATGACATGATAGTATACATAGAAAATCATATAGACTCCACCAAAAAATTACTTGACCTAATAAATGAATTTGGCAAAACAAGGGGATAGAAAGTCAATATCCAGAAATCAAAGGCATTTCTGTACACCAACAATGAAACAGCAGAAGCAGAAATCAAGGAAAAAATCCCATTTGAAATAGCAAAAAGGAAAATAAAATACCTAGGAATAAACCTAACCAAAGAGGTAAAAGACCTGTATTCAGAAAACTACTTAACACTGAAGAAAGAAATTAAGGAAGACACAAACAAATGGGAACATATACCGTGTTCATGGATTGGAAGAATTAATATCATCAAAATGTCCATACTACCCAAAGCAATTTACACATTCAATGCAATACCTACTAAAGTACCAATGACATATTTCACAGACATAGAACAAACACTTCAAAAATTTATATGGAACCATAAATGACCCTGAATAGCTGCTGCAATTTTGAGAAAGAAGAGTAAAGTAGGAGGGATCACAATACCTGACACTAAACTATACTACAAGGCCACTGTAATCAAAACAGCCTGGTACTGGCATAAAAACAGGTAGATGGACCAATGGCACAGAACAGAGAGCCCAGAAGTAAACCCAAGTCTCTAAGGTCAATTAATATTTGAGAAAGGAGGCAGCAACATAAAATGGAGTAAAAATAGCCTGTTCAACAAATGGTGTTGGGAGAGCTGGACACCTACATGCAAAAAAATGAAACTCGAGCACCAACTTACACCATACACAGAAATAAATTCAAGGTGGATAAAAGATTTAAATATAAGCCATGACACCATTAAAGTCCTAGAGGAGAAAGTAGGTAGGAAAATCTCAGATATTTCACGCAAAAACATTTTTACTGATGTGTCCCCTAGAGCAAGGGACATAAATGAAACAATAAACAAATGGAATCTCATCAAAATAAAAAGCTTCTGAATGGCTAAAGAAAACAGTATCAAAATAAAAAGAGAACCAACTGTATGGGAAAACATATTTGCCAATGATACCTCAGACAAGGGTTTAATCTCCAGAATTTATAAAGAACTTACATGACTCCACTCTAAGAAGACAAGCAACCCAATTAAAAAATGGGCAAAGGACTTGAACAGACACTTCTCCAAGGAGGACATACAGAAGATCCAAAGACATATGAAAAGATGCTCAATATCGCTGGCTATCAGATAGATGCAAATTAAAACCACAATGAGATACCACTTCACACCAGTCAGAATGGCCATCATAAACAAAGCAACAAACCACAAGTGTTGGAGAGGTTGTGGAGAAAAGGGGACCCTAGTGCACTGTTGGTGGGACTGCAGAATGGTACAACCACTTTGGAAAGCAGTATGAAACTTCCTTAGAAAATTAAAAATGGATCTACCTTTTGACCCAGCAATTCCACTGCTGGGACTATATCCTAAGAACACTAAAACACCAATACAAAAGAACCTTTGCACCCCGATGTTCATAGCAGCACAAGTTACATTAGCTAGGTGCTCGAAGCAACCTAGGTGCCCATCAGTAAATGAATGGATCAAAAACTATGGTACATTTACAGAATGGAATTCTATGCAGTAGAAAGAAAGAGCTCCTGCCCTTTGCAACAGCTTGGCTGGAGCTGGAAAGCATCATGCTAAGCAAAATAAGCCAGGCAGTGAAAGACAAATACCATCTGATCTCACCTTTAACAGGAACTTAAACAACAAAACAAAGAAATAAGCAAAATATAGCCAAGGACACTGAAATAGAGACTAGGCTGACACTGACCAGAGGGGAGAGGGGAGGAAATTTCATGGGAATTTCAGGGGAGAATGGGAAGTGTTTATAGGAACAAATATAAAGGACACATGGACAAAAACTAGTGGGGGTGGAAATGGGAGGTAGGTGGGGAGGAATGGCTGGGTGGGCTGGAATGGGAGTAAAGGACAGAAAACTGTACTTGAACAACTATTAAAATAAAATTTAAAAAAATAAACACTGCTTTCTAAATCTTCTCTATCACAAGCACCTAGAGCAGTGGGCTTGACATACAGTAGGTGCTCAGTAAAAACACTGTAAATGAAAGACTTTTCAGTTTTTCTAAAATAATTTTTGGACCTGGTTGAGTTATACACCACTTCCCCCTCGACCCTTGTTTATTTCTGTTAAATAACATAAATGTTCTTTACAAACAGTACCTTTGGAGGAACCTAATCTACAGGCAAACTATCTCTTTTTAATGCGTCTATTAGGTCTGATGTCTTTCAGTAAATGTTTACTACTAAACTCAAAGTGATATTGGGAGCAGGGGAGCAGGAACCATAAAATATCACTGACATCTTTTAATGATAATGGTGATGTTTCTAATTCAGCCCAATAGTGTGCTTATCATTAAAACTCCTTGGGTAATTTTCATGCTAAATTTTGATGCAGATACCAAGAGGTCAGATGTTTCATGGAGCCTTTTAGTGCTTTCACAAGCACTTTAAGAACCTATCCCGTGTGATAGGCAGAGGAGTTCTCTGAGGTTATTTGTAGAAATATTCCAAGGCTTACAAAACAAAGTCAGTGTCATAATGTTGCCAGTGGAAGTAGGGGTCTTGTAGTGTCACAAGGAAAGCAGTCCAGGAGACCCACAAGGGAGGATGAGATGTGGCAAGATTTATTTGGATAGAAACAGTAGGCTGCCTTTGGGTTCTCAATGTACTGTCTCCATCTATCCTACCAGGGAAAAAATTCAACTGTGTCTTGAGCAAAGCCAAAACAAAAGCCAGTTTTCACAGCTTCTATTTTATATTAAAGCTTCATCCTTCAGAACCCACAGGCAGCTGCTAAGTGTTCTTAGTCCCAATGCAAGTAGCTTAGCACGGTTCCCAGCTGTGCTGTTGTACACAGGCTCTCTCCTGGAGCTTGCCTTTGGGGTCTTTGCTGCTGCAGTCTTTGCTGCTGCTTGACCTGTGTGGTGGCTATGGAGAGAATGTGCAAGTGAATGGGTGAGTGCATGTCCTGGGGGGGAGGGGGAGGGGAGAGAGAGAGAGAGAGAGAGAGAGAGAGAGAGAGAGAGAGGGAGAGGGAGAGAAAGGGAAAGGGAAAGGGAAAGGGAAAGAGGGGAGGAGAAAGGAAACGAGAGGAAAAGAGGAGAGGAAGGAGGGCAGAAAGAAAGAGAGGGACAGGAGAAGAGAGTAAGCAAGAGCTGCTTTGTTCAACTGGATTATATTATCTCAGGCTTGGAAAGGACCAGGTACTTTTTCAAAATAACCAATCGACTTCACAAGCTTTCACAGGCTTTTGATGGGCCCACTCCCTGACCAGTTTATCCCCCTCCCAGGCTAGACTGATAGGCCTCTGTGGTCACTATTTTGACTTTGATTGCTCATGTGCCTACCTCCCCTTTTATTGTTTTATTCCTTCCCCCCATAGTCTGGGCAAGTGGACCGGGGAAATTGAAAAGCCTGTCCTTCCTCCCTGCTTGGCAAAAGAAGGGCTGTTAATCCCCTTTGCAGACAATGCTGAGATCCCCTGGAGTGTGTGAAGCTGTAGCTTCCTGGCTAAGCAAGCAGGCTATGTTCCCTCAACAATGTCTGATTCCCTTTGCTTCCTTTCTTTATTAATAACTAGCTAATTACCTGTGGTAATAATAATCTAGGGTTCTATACTTCAGTAGCATACTCCCCCATAGAAGCATGTCTAAAGGGTCTTCACTGTTGTGTTTTCTGTAGGCATTAGATGGCTTTGTCATCGCTGTGACAAAGGACGGCAGCATCCTCTATGTTTCTGACAGTATCACACCTCTCCTTGGGCACTTGCCGGTGAGTTTCCACTTCTCTGGGGGCCTTTGCCAGTACACATTTTCATTTTTCCTTGGGAACCATCCAGAACTACAATCAAAGTGGTACAGGTGTGTGGTGGTCTTTGTGTGAGAAGGATTCAGGAATGCTCTTGACAAGACCCAGGCCAAGGTCCTAGGGGCCTTCCTCTGGGACCTTGGCAGGTCCCAGATGTGTCATCCTGGAACAAGAAAGGCACTGTGGTCTTGGCATGGGCCAACCTGGAATGGTGTACATAGTGTAGATCCTCACCCTCTGTACCCAAGAATCCACCAAGGAGCTGTAGCCTGAAGAGAGTGTCACAGCACAGTTAGCAGAGCTCAGAGCCTCTGCAGAGGCTGACAGATATCCTCCTGAGAAGGGAAACTCCAACATCTTGGTCTAGGAATGTGAGCCAGATAGCTGCAGATAGGGCATGGCTTGGAGATCACTAGGGACATAACTGAGATTGCAAGTAGGTAGTGACACTAGTGGTGAGGGTCCAGCAACAGGGCTGATCCTGGGGGGATTAAAATACTCTGGAAAAATGATGTTGGCCCTGGAAGGTTTTGGGGAACAAGGAGGGTTTGGGTAGCCAAGAGGATAAAGCAAGCTCTGCTCTCCCCACAGGAGCTAGGCTGAAACCAGGAGACATATGTGTGCAGCATATTCAAAGGCCCTCGAAAATGTTTCTCCCTTCCCTTTTTTCTAGCTTCTCTCCTTGTCTGTTTCTCCCTTTCTTCTCTCCTTTCCTCCCTTCCTCCTTAATGCTTCATCCTCTCAAATGAGCCTTGCTGACCCTCTGATAATCCCACATCACCCACCCTCCATCAGGATGAGCAACTGGCTCATGAAGGCTCCACTTTGAGGGTCCCTCATAGGCACCTGGCTAGTGTTCCATTTCCTTCCACACCATTATTTATTCCTACAGAGCCTAACCTTGAATACAGCTCTACTAGGAGTATTCTGTGGGACTTAGGATAAACCTTCCTCTCTTCTCTCTCCTCCCAACAAGCCCTGATAAACTGATTAACCTCCACCACTCCCCATCCTCAGCATACCTGCAGGAAGGCTGCTAGTGTATGTGATGGGGAGGGTGAAGGCTTGCCCCAGGTTCCTGTACCTAGGGACTCCCAGTAAGTAAGGTACTGCAGGACTGGTTGTCTCTCCTTAGCCACACCTGCTGCAGAACTGCAGGGCCTTACCTGTAAGCAGCTTGCCTCCCTTGGGGTCATGACCCAGTGTGCTGATTTTCCAGTGCCCCACATCATCCTGGGTCATATTCTTCCTCAGAAGGCACACGCCTCCTCCCATAATTTCCACACATGTGCTGTGTGGAAAGCAAAGCCACCATCCACACTTTCCCTTTGCCAGTTACTGTGTTGTAGCCCAGCAAAGCATTTTTTATTCTGCTAGGCAGATGCCTTTACATTTTGCCATCTCTATCTGACCTCTGTGTTTCAGCCCATTTCCTGCACCATTTTCAGGGAGCATTGGGCTAAGGCAGGGGGCAGGGGGTGCTCTCTCCTTTGTCAGAGAGGCTGGTTCTCACTTTGCCCTAAAGAGCTAAGAGCACAGTTTCATCTTGATTCTAGTGTCAGGCTAGAGGAACAGTGATGAGGCCTATCAAGGTAAGGAATACAGAAGTGATCCCATTCAATCCGCCAGCTTCTTTGGGCCAGTCTGACAGTGGCTGAGGAAGAAGAGGAAATGGGTGCCCCTGTGAAGAGGGTTTGCATTTTGTGAGTGGACAGGATTGGATGATGATGGGCACAGATTGAAAGCAATGAGACATCACCTCCTCAGTGAGCAGGGAGTTAGTGCAGGAACACAGAGCTGTTGGGTGAACAGGATTTGCACTCTTCCGCTTTCTGCTCATGTAATTATCTGACGACACAGTTGCTGTATGTGGCAGATAGGACTTATAAAAAATAAGTTAGGAATTTTTCTGATTTGAAATTATGGGGTGATTTAGGACCACCTTTGTAAATTATTTTCTTTAACTCTGGAAGGGCCAGAAATGACCCTGACTCTAATTTGTCAATGCTTAGTAAATGTCTATGTATAGACCCTCACCCAGAAACACACTGAATCAGCCCTCAAGCTCCCCAGTGGAGGTGTGCCTAGGATGGAGAATCCCCAAATATAACTTTTATTTACTTGTAACTTACATTATCCAGTTTTCACCAGATTGAATTTTCTTTTTCCTTTTTGCTTAGGATTCACTTGCATCCTTTGCTAGTGGGTGGACTAGGATGATTAAGGATGGAAACTTCCCTTGTGCCAATCAGCCTATAGCCAGTTGAGCAAGTGAGCTGGCCTGGACTACCTCTATTACCACCACTTTACAGGGAGGAAACCCAATATGGCCTGTTGGTGAGGAGCATAGATGGGCTTAAAATAGGCACTACTGACTGCAGAGCCCAAGCTCTTCATCATCTGCTCTGGCGTCTTTCTGATGCAAAGGACTTGGCTTGCCGTTTAGAAATTCTACTTTCAGTTTAGCTCACTTTTTCTTTAATTTTTTTTTTAATCATTGTTCAAGTATAGTTTTCTCCCTTTTACTCCCAATCCAGCCCACCCACCCAGCCCTCCCCATGCCCCTCCCATTACCACCTCCCCTCTAGTTTTTCTCCCTGTATCCTTTAAATTTGTTCCTCTAAACCCTTCCCATTCTTCCCTGAAATTTCCTCTTCTCTCCCCTCTGTTCACGATAAGCCTGTTCTCTGTTTCACTGAATTTGGCTATATTTTGCTTGTTTCTTTCTTTTGTTGCTTTGGTTCCAGTTAAAGGTGAGATCAGATGGTATTTGTCTTTCACTGCCTGGCTTATTTTGCTTAGCATGATGCTTTCCAGCTCCAGCCAAGCTGTTGCAAAGGGTAGGAGCTCTTTCTTTCTATTACATAGAATTCCATTCTGTAAATGTACCATAGTTTTTTGATCCATTCATTTACTGATGGGCACCTAGGTTGCTTCGAGCACCTAGCTAATGTAACTTGTGCTGCTATGAACATCGGGGTGCAAAGGTTCTTTTGTATTGGTGTTTTAGTGTTCTTAGGATATAGTCCCAGCAGTGGAATTGCTGGGTCAAAAGGTAGATCCATTTTTAATTTTCTAAGGAAGTTTCATACTGCTTTCCAAAGTGGTTGTACCATTCTGCAGTCCCACCAACAGTGCACTAGGGTCCCCCTTTTCTCCACAACCTCTCCAACACTTGTGGTTTGTTGCTTTGTTTATGATGGCCATTCTGACTGGTGTGAAGTGGTATCTCATTGTGGTTTTAATTTGCATCTATCTGATAGCCAGCGATATTGAGCATCTTTTCATATGTCTTTGGATCTTCTGTATGTCCTCCTTGGAGAAGTGTCTGTTCAAGTCCTTTGCCCATTTTTTAATTGGGTTGCTTGTCTTCTTAGAGTGGAGTCATGTAAGTTCTTTATAAATTCTGGAGATTAAACCCTTGTCTGAGGTATCATTGGCAAATATGTTTTCCCATACAGTTGGTTCTCTTTTTTATTTTGATACTGTTTTCTTTAGCCATTCAGAAGCTTTTTTATTTTGATGAGATTCCATTTGTTTATTGTTTCATTTATGTCCCTTGCTCTAGGGAACACATCAGTAAAAATGTTTTTGCGTGAAATATCTGAGATTTTCCTACCTACTTTCTCCTCTAGGACTTTAATGGTGTCATGGCTTATATTTAAATCTTTTATCCACCTTGAATTTATTTCTGTGTATGGTGTAAGTTGGTGCTCGAGTTTCATTTTTTTGCATGTAGCTGTCCAGCTCTCCCAACACCATTTGTTGAACAGGCTATTTTTACTCCATTTTATGTTGCTGCCTCCTTTCTCAAATATTAATTGACCTTAGAGACTTGGGTTTACTTCTGGGCTCTCTGTTCTGTGCCATTGGTCCATCTACCTGTTTTTATGCCAGTACCAGGCTGTTTTGATTACAGTGGCCTTGTAGTATAGTTTAGTGTCAGGTATTGTGATCCCTCCTACTTTACTCTTCTTTCTCAAAATTGCAGCAGCTATTCAGGGTCATTTATGGTTCCATATAAATTTTTGAAGTGTTTGTTCTATGTCTGTGAAATATGTCATTGGTACTTTAGTAGGTATTGCATTGAATGTGTAAATTGCTTTGGGTAGTATGGACATTTTGATGATATTAATTCTTCCAATCCATGAACACGGTATATGTTCCCATTTGTTTGTGTCTTCCTTAATTTCTTTCTTCAGTGTTAAGTAGTTTTCTGAATACAGGTCTTTTACCTCTTTGGTTAGGTTTATTCCTAGGTATTTTATTTTCCTTTTTGCTATTTCAAATGGGATTTTTTTCCTTGATTTCTGCTTCTGCTGTTTCATTGTTGGTGTACAGAAATGCCTTTGATTTCTGGATATTGACTTTCTATCCCCTTGTTTTGCCAAATTCATTTATTAGGTCAAGCAATTTTTTGGTGGAGTCTATATGATTTTCTATGTATACTATCATGTCATCTGCAAACAGTGACAGTTTTGTTTCCTCCTTTCTGATTTGGATGCCTTTTATTTCTTTTTTTTTTTTTGTCTGATCACTGTGGCTAGAACTTCCAGTACTACATTGAATAGAAGTGGTGAAAGTGGACAACCTTGTGTTGTTCCTGAACTTAGTGGAAAAGATTTTAATTTTTGCCCATTGAGTATCATGTTGGCTGGAGTTCTCTCATATATGGCCTTTATTATGTGGAGGAATGCTCCCTCTATTCCCCTCTTTCTCAAAACTGGGAAATTTCTTTTATCATAAATGGGTGCTGCATCTTATCAAATGCTTTTTATCATAAATGGGTGCTGTACATTATCAAATGTTTTTTTCTGCATCTATTGATATAATCATGTGGTTTTTGTCTTTGCTTTTGTTTATGTGATGTATTACATTTACTGATTTGCAAGTATTGTACCATCCTTGCATCCCTGGAATGAATCTCACTTGGTCATGGTGTATGATCTTTTTAACATATTGTT